CCGCCGGGGTGATGATGAAGCCCGAGTTCGGGCCACCGGCGTTGAAGTTCTTGGTGGCGCCACGGTTCGTGTCGATCGCAAGCAGACTTGGCGTTCCGACTTCGAGAATGTCCTGGCCGGTGCCGTCGGTCGAGGTGAAGAACGAGGCCTCCGAGATCTGCATGAGTCCCGATCCATTGGTCGTCGGGAACAGCATCTTGTAGGACGAATACGCGTTGGCGTTCGGCACCGAGACAACCGGACTGTCGGTGAACAAACCGGGCGGGACCTCGATCGATCCGCTACCAAGTTCGATCCAGCTCTCGGCATCGCCGAAGCTGTTGTCGAGTGACGTAATCGGGTCGTTCGTACCGAAGAGCTGCCACGATGTCGGATGACGCTCGATCGCGTCGTTCGCGCTCGTGACGATAAAGCTCTGCACCTGAGCCGGCGAGTCTGGCGTCACAATGAAACCGCTGTTGGGTCCGCCGAAGTTCAGGTATTTCGTTCCCGTGTCGCCGTCAACAAGAAGTCCCGGATTCTCACCGGCGGGATAGCTGCTGCTGGCAGTGTAGGCATAATCCACGATGTTCGCCGGCGCTTCGTCGGGGAAATAGAAGGATGCGGGCTGCGGAAGCTGGTAGGCGATGGCGAGGTCGCCGAACCCGAAAACGCCCGTCCCTGTGGCATCGGGGCCGGTGTAGAGCTGAACGTCGGCGACTTGCATGCCGCTGAACGAGTCACGCCCGCCAGGGCCGCCCTTAACATCGGGAAACTCGATCCGATAGTTGTTATACGGCGTCGAGTTCGTGAAGTTGATCGCCGGCAGTTGTGTTAGACGATCGGCAGGGAACTCCAAAGCGCCGTTGGCGATTTGCGTCCAACTCTCTCCGCCCGAAAGATCGCTGTTATCGGTGCTCAAGAGCGGGTCGTTACTTCCATAAAGGACCCAACCCGACGGATCGCGAATCTCAAAGTCGTCCGCCGTCGTGAACTGGATACTCTGAGCGATCGTGTTGCCGAAGAGCGGCTCCACCGCCAGCCCCGTTTCGCGAGGAGGCTGGCCCAGATTCAAGTACTTGGTGGTTGGGATTCCGTCGATTGCGGAGTCGGCGCCTTCCCCAGTTAAGTAAGTGCTATTGGACGCCGGGGGGCTGGTATTGATCGCCAGGACGGACGCGTTGGTATTCAACAGCGGCACGGCGTGGGCGGCGGGCGCCGCCACCAGTAACGCCAGAGAAGGTAACAGCAAGTGTGGTGCAAAGCGAATGCAAGTCACGTCGAGAACTCCCTGTAAGAGATCGCCATAGTACGAAGGGTCGTGGGCCGCCAACGGGCTTTCGGCAAACCGTTGACCGCCCACCCAAAGGCCTATCGACAGCAACAACTAGCACCGGACCACTGCTGCGGGAGACTATCTCCTCGCCCAAGAGGTTGCGCTCGCTGACGTACCGATTGACCTGCCATGGAGCGAGCGTTTCCGAGGCGCTCGCCCCCTACTTCTCTGTCCCTGTCGCCTTTCCTCTTACCGCTTTCCACCCCGGCTCTTTCGCCTATTTAGTTGCTCAGCTCGCCCTCCGTTTTTGAATGTTTGTAAGGTCCCCACCAAGACACTCAACCCCAAAACGCTCGCTCGCCGACCACCCCGCTTCGAACAAGCGTTCCCCCGCCATCTCATCGACGCCGAGTTTCGCCGATTTGCCCGGGCGGATAGCGCGCCACCCCAACGCGCCGAGGTCCTCTCGCGAAGCGGCATTCGCCGATCCGCGACTCGCCGGACCTACCCGACCGGGCAAATCAGTGTTTTCGCCAAGCAGGACGCTTCGCAGCGGCCCCGATGTGTTGTCTGGCCTGTCGAGGCCACACGTGGTCGTACGCGACCCACCGGACCGGCGACGCTGCGCATCGTGAACGATACTTGATCGCAGCGTGCACACGCCGATGCGACAACGACCACTGGTGGCCAAGTCTCGATTGCTAAGCTGGCTAGCTGACATTCCGTCCTGGCCGTGGCGACGAGCCTCATTGAGTTACGTACACGGCCGACCTGCAAGAGGCTCAGCCGCCATTTGCGCACTGCCGCGCGCTCCGCCTCAACGAATCTGTCCCGATAAGCAGATGAGACCCACGAAGCGCAGGCACATCTGCGATTCAAGGGGGCGTAGGTTGCGACGTCGCCTAGCAAGCCGAGCAAGGGCGCCCCAAGAAGCATTCGCTGAACGCCCAGCAAGAACGAAGGCGATCCACCGTCAACTACTTGGGAAGCTAATGACCTCTCACACAAGGCAAACAAGTCGGCGACACAACTAGCCAGCAATAAATACCGAATCAAACGGCTTGGTTACGCGAATCTTGGAAAAAAACGGAACATGGCGGCCAGCTCACGCGTACATCACTCCCCTCCGGCGAGCGGCGAGTCGTAAATCGGCGCCATCACTTGCTCCTTACTCCCCAGCTGAACCGACCCCGAGGGCCCAACACGGCATCGAATCTCAATCGCTGCTGTCGAGACCGTATCTCAAGAGCCGGAATGCTCGCTCTGCCCCATCGCTGTCACCAAGCCCCGAGTCTCCGATTGACTCGAAGAGGTCGGCAAGGGCGGTATCGCGAGCGACGGCAGAGGAGATCTCTTCGTTGGATCGTCGATGATCATCCAGTTCGCGTGATCCAATCGTAGCGGGTCGATGGACGATAGCGTCCATCAAGAGGGCGAGCTCTTTGCTGCCATCCGCGAATTTCGATAGCGGTGGCCGGTATGTCGTCCTCGCAAGCCTCTCGGATGGACCGTAAGGCGGGAACGGCGTGGTCGCACCGACCGACAAGAAGGCCGCATCCAAGTCGGTACGCTCTGCCGGAGCAGGTGGTCGCTCGCTCGGACGGACCTCGGTGGCGGCCGCCATCAGAAACTCAACGACTGGTGGTTCAGAAGTCGCCACTAGCTGTGAGAAGGTGAGGCTTTGGCCGAAGTTGTCGCGCCAGACCGTGTAGTCCGCGGCGTTGACGACGCCGTCCCCGTTGCCGTCGGCTGAAGACGAGGTCGAGCCGTACGCGTTTCTCCAAACTAGGTAATCGTTATCATTGACGACATAGTTGCCGTCGTAGTCTCCCGGCAAGACCAGCTGGTCGTAAGAAGCCTCGTTAAGTGCTGACCAAACTCCGCCCGACAGCGCCCTCGCCTTGATTGTCATGCCAGGGGCGATTGCAAACGGCCCGGTGTACGCGATCCCTGCGGAAGATCCGCTAGCGTCGCGGGGATCAGAGCCATCCGCCGTGTAGTAGATAACGCCGCTGGTGGAACTCATCCCGAGATTGAATCCGGTCAGCGGGATCGAACCGCCATGCTGGCTGAAGATCGGGGCATTGGTCGACGGGTAGAGGCCGGCGCCTCGCAACTGGTTGACGAAGACGCTTGTTCGACCGGTGAGAAAGGTGTCGATCACCGACTGCGACTCGGCCTCCCACTGAGCGGCGGTCAGTGGCGTCGAACGGTGCATGTCACCCCATCGAGCGCTCTCGGCGATAATCGCTTCGTCCATCTCGGCCAGCACGCTCTCGTATCGGGCGATAGCCTCATTGGGCGTCAGCGCGCCATTGTTGAAGAGGGCCCGCTGTGCCCGGTCCGCAAAGCGGAGGCGGAAATCTTCGTTCTGTCGAAGATAGCTGTACGGCTCGGCGGCTTCGACGTTTGCCCCCAAACGATTGGTGTTGACATTGGACCCGAACAAATTGAGTGTTGATTCGGCGTCCCACATGTGGAATTTGAAGCCGGTGCTCTCCGGGCCCCGTTCACGCGCGGCGTACCAGTTGCGGTGGGGCCAGTCGACGTTCCCCATGTAGAAGTTGACGATTAGGTAGTCGATGTAATTGTCAACATCCAGGAAGTCTTCGAAGGCTGGGTTGTTCGTTCCGTCCGGGTTGTTCCCTTGCAGTCTTTGGTAGGCAGCGGCCCTTGCCGTGGCGGAACCAGCGCCGGGACCGGCGGAGTAAGCAAGCGCGACCATCTCGTTCCAGGCGTCGAGGTTCCCGTCGGTCGCACTGCCGTCGTTGATGGCGTCCCAGTTGTCCTTATCGCCTCCGTAATACGACGCAGCAAACGAGGCGTCGGGCCGTTCATTCGGGTTATAGACGCCCCAGTAGACGCCGTTGATATAGAGGTGCACGCGGTTGCCGTGGGGCGCCACTTGGCCGAGCGCCGCGTGCGAACGACTGCCAAAGGCGTCGCGAGCGTATTGGGGCTGCGTCCCGGCGCCGCTCCACGCGTAGCCGTCGTTGGACTCCATCCGCAGCGTGATGGTGTCGAAACTCGTGGAAGCGTCTTCACCGAAGAGCGGAAAGTCGAGCTTGGTCGGGCCGTAGTCGTCCTTGAACAAGAGCCGTAGCGAGTGCTTCTTGCTGAGGTCATGGCTCCGGAAGGCGCCCCCCTGCAAGCGGATGCCGGCGTTGATCTGGAAGCCCTCGGCGCCGTCGGGATAAATCAATTCGACCGAAGTGGCGCGTTCGTAGGCGACGCCGCCGTTGGTAGAGTTGGTGTAGATGCCGTTGGGACCGAACAGTTCGTCCGTATCCATCACGATCGACATGGTAGGGATCGATAGCAGAGAATCCTCGATCGCACCGGCATACTGCCCGCCGAAGAGATCGCCGCCGAGGGGCGCCCCGTTGGCGTCGAAGTAGCCGATCACGTCGGGGTCCATTCCGTAGTCGGGAGACACGTTTCCCCAACTTGTGGGGAAGCCTGCGGCCAGCGTCGTCGAGGGGCTTTGCGAAACCACATCCCGCAGGAAGATGTACGAATTGGTGTCCGTCACCGAGTCGTAATAGTCCTCGCGAAAGGCGCCCGCCTTCACGACAGTGGTCCGGTCAATGGTGATCGGCCCCGTGTAGAGCAGCCCCGTTTCGGGCGTGGGGGCGTCACCATTCGTCGTAAAGTAGACTTGGGCGCTGGGCGTAGGCGTGGCGAGCGTTAGCGTGAACAATTCATCGTAGAAACCGTGTTCCACACTGAAGGTGGGCGTATCGACGAACCCCAACCGCCCCTCGCCGTTGGCGGCGCCCGGTGTGGGCGTCTGAAAGTAGTAGGCGGCTGGCGTTACCTCGGGTAGCAGCACCGCGCTCAGCCGCGGCGATGACAGCATCTCACTGCTGAGGTCGTTGTCATTGAGGGCGTGGATCGCCAGGACATTCGTCCCGGAGACCAACAGGCTGTGGAAGTCGCTGAGATCAAAGCGCTCGGGCGTGAACGAGTCGCCGTCGCTGCGAGGGGCGAGCGCGCTGGACTGCCAGCTGGGGCTGTCAGGACTGTTAGCGACGACGACCTTGACGCCGTTCAGATACGCCACAAAACCATCGTTGTACTGCATGTCGAGCCACATCGCGCCGAGCACGGCGGGGTCGGCGACATCAAACTCGACTCGCTGGTAAACGCTGCTCCGTCTGGTGTTCCAAGTCGCTTCGACATCGAGATCGATGATCGAGTCCATGCTGAGGTCTTGCGAGCTAAAAAGCTCGATCTCAGCCATCTGTAAGGCGACCGGCTGGTTATTGGCGGTAACTCCGTACTCGGTCTGGAAGTCGAATCGGTAATAGACGTAGCCGTCCGTATTGGAGAAGTCGTACTGCCGCGTCTCGAAACGGTCGGCGAAGTTTTGGGCGTCTCGTGTATCGACAACCGTGTAGTTGACGCCGTCGTTCGATCCGCTCAGCGTCCAGCTGTAGGGGTCGCGTTCGTCGGCGTCGTTCGCGGAGGTGATCGTGTAGTTATCAACGATCCGCGGCTGGCCATCCAAGAATCGCGTCTCGTAGAAGGTTCCCTCGGCAGTAAACGCCAACCATTTGGTAGAGCGGCTATTGTCGAGCGCCTTCGGGGGTTCTTCGCCCGTTGGCGAGTTGGTCGATGCTCCGGCCGAAATGGCGACATCTAGGACGCCATCATTATTCAGGTCGGTGAGGTCGCTGCCGCGAAGATTATTGAGTTCGATCCCGTTCGCCGGCCCCGGCTGGTGACCCGGGTCCGTGTCGAATCCCACCGCCGGTCCAGCCTCACTCTGCGCCCAGGACGCGTCATTGAACCCAATCTGCGTCCAAATCGGCGAGGCTCCGGTGTCTAGCGCTCCCGAGGTTGGCACGAGCGCCGAGGTCGTCGATGAATCGCCGATGAGGCTCACCACAGGTACGTTGACGCCGTAGGAGACATCGGTGAGTTGTTGCGGGAAAGCTGGGGCATACGACGAAACGATATTCTCGTTCGGGTCCGTCAGCCCCAGAAACTCCCCATCGGCGCCCAACGCAAAGTCGGCGTGGAGGTACCCGGCCGGGTCGATATAGGTCTCGGTCTCCTGGCT